TATAAAATGGAGTAGATGGAGGAAAACACGAGGTGATGTTGAGTCAATTATTATAACTATTTATCAAAAGAAAATCCAGAGAATGTGTTTAAAACCTCCTCTGGACTCCTGCTAGCCAATCTGAAATTTAAATTTTTATGTGTGTGCGTTCAGTCCCTCTGTCCTGCAGCTCCTCCACCCTCTCAAGAACCGCTGCACCTCCCGCCCTGCTGTTTACACCTCGTGCCAACTTGTGTGCGTCTCCTCCTCTGCCCACCTCTGTTCTCCAGCGCCTCGTTCTTTGTCTCCGCCTGCTGCAGTCGTCCCTCCACCTCCTTCTTCTCCACCTCCAGCAGCTCCAGCTGCCTCTGCAGCGCCTCCAGCTGCTCCTTCACACAGCTCTGCTCCAGCTGGGCCTCCAGACTCTTCACCTTCACACACACACACATTTTATGATTCATAACATGGAAGCACAAAAGGAAAATACAGATACATGTCCGAGATCAGCATCTCAACCTTCTGGAGAAAGACACCAGGATTTGTATGTTTAGTGTTGAAGCGCCCATGAAAACCATGTGACCTCAATGAATCACATGTGACCCTCAGTGAACCTCATGTCCCATCGTGTGGGACGAAATGACTAAAATTAAAAAAGACAGTGACGAGTGAAGAAATATCTTCACATTTTTACAAAGTGCAGCCAATTAGTTACTGATATCTCCTTCAGGCGGTGGTGGAGACCAAACACAGAGCTAAAGTGAGCGACTTCACAATAACTTTAACTCTCCGTCACTCACTGGTTTGCCAGGATGACCCCCCCCCCCCCCCCCCCCGTTAGTTTTCATGGTTTACCTTCTGCTGATGCTGCAGACGCTCGTCCTCCAGGGTTTTGGTGATGGCTGCCACGTCCTCCAGAGCTTTGAGCAGCTGAACGCTGGGCTCAGCGTTCTGCAGCAGCAGCATACTCTGCCTGTTGGCCTCCTTCTGCTTCACCAGCATCTGCAGGAGGAGGAGGAGGAGGATGAGGAGAGACAGAGGGAGGGAGGAGGGGTGGAAGGAGTAAAGGGATGAAGAGGAGGGAGAAGAAAGATGAATCGCTCTCACCTTCTACATTTGAACCTCCGACACATCGGACACAGTTCATCCATCACAGTTTTAATCCTACTACTCAATCAACGTGTCTTTTCACTGCATGCTGTTTGTTGAGTACTTGTTGTTTGCGTACCGTTCAGCTAGGTGTAGCAGCACTGTGTACTTATACTGTGACGGCAGAGTGTTTCTGGGTCGTTACCTCGTGTGCGTAGGTTTCAGCTTTGACTCTCAGGTTCTGCTCCAGGTCCAGTTGCTCCTTCATCCCGTCGTACTCCTGAGTGGCCATCATGGAGACTAGAGAGACGAGAAGACGAGGAGGATGAACACAGACAACTACTCGTTTTTATTCAACCTGGATCTTAGCTACTTTCACAAAGTCGGACAGAACTGTTAGCATGTTAGCAAATTCATGACAACTGACAAAATGCCTTGTTTCATGCTAATAGCATGTTGACATTCATTTTAACACAAACTATACAGAATGTGTTAGCAAGTGCTATCCAAGGTGTCACCATAGCATAATGACAAATTCCCCCTTGTTTTATGCTAATATTAGCATGTTTAGATGCTAACACAACAAGTTAGATGGACGGTACACGCTGCTACTACGACCCAACCAACTGGTTTCAAGCTAGTGTTAGCATGTTTTGACGCGCTCGTTAGCAGGTAGAGTCCGGCTCATGTCTTCATGGTGACATTAGCATGTTGACATGTCGTGTACGGTGGCCGGCAGGCGACTGATACTGAACATTAGATGAACACGTGATGAAGACGAGGGCAGCATATCAAGAGCAATGATTCGTTTATAAAGATGGACGACATGACAGTTATGCAGAGTTAACTCAGTCTGTGGAAACCTTTATCTCGTGTGACTCACCTCTGTTAAATCTCTTGATGGTTTTACTTTGCTTCTCAACAGTTTCACGCAGCTCCTTCATCTCCGTCTGATTCTTCTCTGCCTGCAGACAGTGAAACCAATTCATCATTATCACGATACAGATACAGACGTATCTCTGCTGCCGGACGGTAAAACGACAAGCATCATTATCTCTCTATCTGAATTTATTCATTTATGACAACAGGACAGAGCCACAGGACTTTAAGTCGCGATGCAGGTGAATGTCCGTCCTCACCTGTGTGGTCAACTCTTCTATTTGTCTCTGCTGGTCGTGAATCTGACAAACAAAATTCTTCTTCTCCTCCAACAAGCCGGTCACCGTGTCCCTCAGCTCTGACAGAGAAACACAAAGTCCAGTCACTTGTTGTAAAATATCAGGAACATCGATGAACGCTTCATCAGAGAGACTGAAATATTTTTTAAATCGTTTTGCTGGTGCTGATGCAGTGGCTTCATCGGACAAAACAAATGTTAGAGCAAGAAATCCTGGAAAGCACATTGTTCTTTATGAGACTATCAATCTTTAAGTTGACGGAGGTGTCAGGCTTTTTGATTCATGTGCCGTGGGACACATCAGGTCTGATTATTTCTACTAAATCACTGCACAGTCTGTATTGGTATAAAATTGACCTAAATACTTAACATTTACACTATCATGAAATAGATCAAGTTCATCCTGTGGGGAGCATGTGCTCAATGAACGTACAGCAACCTGCACATCAGACTCCTGAAAGTTTAAAATTCAGGTAAAGGTCAAGGGTCACCAACATTTTAACCGGTTGTCTGTTGAGTCTAAATCTACGTGTTGTACCTTTAACCTGTTGTTGATACTGGATGAAAGTGTCGGGGCTGGCGTCTGCTGCGTCTGCTGCGTCTGCAGCGTCTGCAGTGTCTGCTGCGTCTGCGTCGGTCTCTAGTGCGATGCAGTCCGAGATGCTGGGAAGTAGCTCGTCCAAACACGGCCGAGACGACAGGCTCAGGTACTTCAACTTCCTGTTCTCACAGTTGAGCTGGAGGTCAAAGTCACAGGGGGGTTAACGACAATGAGAGATTCATTAAGTGTTTTCATTGAGATTTGATTTTTTTTTTACTGGACAATAAAGAAATAAAGCATCATCTGCCGCTGGCCTTGTATTTGTATTGTAACTCACATATCAGTGACAGTAAGTGATGTAACTGTTGCATCTGCCTCTGGATGTTGCTAAAGTTTAATGTAAGCAGACAGTAATTTGCTGGCGAGGCAGAAACACAGATAATGTAGTCAAATCACTTCTGTGCAGAGTCATCCTGACTCAACTGTTCACTCCATTCACCTGCTGCCAGCTGCACCCTGATAATGCTAATCTCACAGCATTGATTATTGCATGTGTGTGTGTTTCTGACCTTTGTGGCCAGGGCCTCTGCATTTTCCCGACACGACTTCTCGATCTCCAGCTGAGTCTGCAGAACGCTCACCTCCTCAATCACCATCTGAGACACTGAGAGAGAAAGAAAGACAAATTGAGTCATTTAGTGACTCATTGTCCAGACTGTGATCAGTGTGTGTGTGTGTGTCGGTGTCGGTGTAAAACCTCCACAGATGCTAGAAAAGCTAAAATAAAAACGTGTGCCTGAGGCAGTTTGACGCCCGCAGCTGTCGAACGTGTCACCGCAGCTCAGCGAGTCTGCAGTTATTTTAAAATGACCCAGATATGGAGACTTTAGGAGAATCCAGCCCGAGCGGAGGGAAACTCGACATGATGAAGTAGCTTTGTCAAAATAAAGATCCACGTTCCTTCCTCTCATTCTTCTCCCTCCTTCTTCTTCGGCTGAATTTTATATCCAACCTGTCAGATGACGGGCATTTAATTTTAATTATTTAAATCCCTTTCACATTAAAATAATCCAAGTTTTAATTCCGTAAAACTGCTCTTTTCTGAATGTAGATGATCCAAAGAAGTTTCAACACACAAAATAAATATACAGTTACCGACCTGTGGCAGCATGAAACACTCATGTTCGCCCAAAAACACGTTTTGAGAGCTGATCCTCGAGTCTAAGAGAACATTTGTGGCAAATTTAAAAGTACTCTCTCAGGGCGTTCTTAAGATAACCAAGTCCAAGTGAATGTTAAAGCCTCATGTAATGAAATTCCCTACAAGTGGTCCTGGTGTATCACATTCTCGAGTCCTTGACCTTCCATCATATGACACAATGAGTCCTGGACTCCTTCAGGCTGCTGCGGCTGGATTGTGTTTCAGTCAGCAGGAAGCCCCCGCTCTAACGTCCCTGATCCATTAACAGAGAGCTTCCTGGTCGATGGACAAGACCCCAAATGTGATTATCAGCTCCTCACTCACACAGGAGGAGAGGTGTTCATGTTCCTTCTGCCCTCAAACACTGGCAGAGAGACTCTCAAGCTGCCTGTCAGCTGTTACGTGATCTGAGGCCACAGAGTAGTAAAGGTGCAGCTGAAGGGTGGTGGATGGGCTGATTCATATGAATACATTTAAAGGCTGTCAATAATGCAGATATAAACTCTGAGTTTACGTCCTCTCACATAATGAACAGAAAAACCATGACGACGACCGAAACCTGTTTCTGTGTCAGTGAGGCCTTCAGGTACATTAACCCCAATTCTGGATCACAAGCTCGAGGTGAAGGGTTTTCTTCTTTCAGGCTACATGACTAATGCTTCTCTGTCTGATGGTGGAGCCTGAATGCAACACAATGAGTCCTACACACACACACACACACACACACACACACTGTAGACTGTGTGTAGTAAGTGTGCGTAGATGCATTAGGGAGCAATGCTTTTAGAGAACAGAGAAACGGACTTTCAAGCAACTTCGGCAGCAACATCAGCAGCATCCTGTTCGTATAATGATCTGATTTCTCATAAACTTCATTTATCAATGATTCATTCATCAAATAAACCTGATTCATGATCTCATTTAAACAAGCAGGTAAAAAGCTTCATGTTTCAGAAAAACTAAAAGTAGAAACTCATTTTTAAACTGCAACAACATTAGTCTGTTTTTCATTAACTGCATCCGACATTTAAGCAGGTGACCTTTGAAAGCCCAGATGAGATTTATCTCTCTGTGTTTCGGTCGAGGAAGCACTGATCAGAAAAAAGAGAGGGATGATACAAAAGGAGGACAGGGAAGGCTTCTGGATCTATTTTTAATCCCTCCCTCAGTGTTTAATGCTTCTGAATGGTGGTGTGATTCCCTCCCTGTCGGGCAGAGACTCGTTTACACCCTCATCTCTCCCTCTCTCTCCCTCTCACAGTCGTTTCAACCCTCATGCCGATCATCCTCTGCTCGGCTGCACCGCAGTTCAGCTGCAGCTCTGTGGGTCAGACGCCACGTGCAGAGACGGAGGAGAGCAGGTCACACTTCTCGCTCTATTTCGAATTTCTACTGTTTTAATCGAGAAACCAGCAGCTGGTGAAACATGACCAGAATGAAATACGTCTACTACTGGACCGATGATTATCTTAGCTTTATATAGACGTTCAGAATATGAAGTATTGTCAACATTTTTTATCCTGGGAACAAAACTAATATTTCCAATGAACCAAATTGTTTATTATTGATAATAAATTAATGTTTTATTGTATTTATTTATATGTAGATTATATTTTAGGCTGCTGCTTCAGATTCACAAATTGATCTTTCTTTGAGGCCTCCCAGGAAAACAAGTGAGCGTTAAACCGGCAGTTGTTTCCTCTCAGAGAAACGTGTGGTCGTGCAGCTCTCTCTGTCTGTTCTGGGTCAGTAACTCCTCTGAGTTCACCGCTTCATGAGATAAATGACGTGCCCCTCAAAACCTGTGACGACGTGACAGACTGGAAACAGAGCGCCGCTTTTGTCTTTCCCCGCTGAGCTGCAGCTGGTGAGAGCCTCTGGAGTGAAGGTGCACGTTGTTAAACAGATGATTTGGAGGATTAGTCAACGGTTAGCACGTTCATCTGAGTAATGGTTAAAGAATAAGCTGGAAATTAAAAGCCGATAGCTGCTCTACAGGTTCGTTTATGATTTAAACTTACGCGTGTGCAGGAGTTAAAATGTAAAAGGAGGAATTTTGGTGAACATGTCTGTGACTGAAACAGAAACTGCAGAGGATTTAGATCCTCGAGTGTTAATACCAGTGGTGTCTAAGCTGTAACACTAACCCAGAGCTAAGCTGTGGACAATAGGAGGCTAATGCTGCCTTCAAATGCTCCTTTTAAGCTTCGGCTGCAGAGACTGGGGAGTGTACATGAGATCTGTTTTACAAAACCAACAAGCTGAGCCCTGATTTGGATCAAGCTGCACCAAACTACACACACTCAAATATATCTGTTGTTTAATGTATAACTATTATTATTTAATTATTCTCTGGGAAATTGGTCAAATGTCACATAATGTCTTATCTCACAATGTTGAAGAGAATGTAATTCTTTCTCAGACCATGTCCCATGAGCCCACGTATGACAGTCTGACTGTCCTGGTCACTTTCAGCAGCGTGTTGGTTCTTCATGTTATTACAGAAACTACAGCTGCACTCGAACACAGGGGAAGTGCGGCCACAGGCTTTTATCCAGGAACTAGCACAGCAGACTGAGTAAGGCTACGATGAGCTAACAGCGCTGCAGGCGAGCAGTTTCATAAAGCTGAGTGGTATCACAGTTAGCTCCTGGCCACATGTTCACTTACAGGAGCATCTGATGACATGTAACACACATGTGACTGGTTCACTGGGCATGAAGCAGCACTATTACTTTGTTCTTTTTTTAAATGCATTTCCTTTCTTTGGTTTTGGTGGAAAGACTTTTTTGTATGATTCTTTCAAAAATAAAAATAACCTCAGTCTAACTCGCTCTCTCTCTTTGGGTGTGATCTTAAACTCCTGACAGGCGTGTTTGACGCTCAGCTCCTCAGCGCTCTGTTTCTTTTTGCTGCTCTTGCTCAACATGAATCATACATTGCAGACTGAGAGACAGTTTCTCCTGGTTTCTCTGCTTAGGGCAAAGAAACCTTTCAGCTTTTTAACTCAAGGATGAAACGTCAGACTCTGAATCACCTCCTCTAAAAACATGCACATCAGTGATTGTTGCCTTTGCTCCAGGAACCCTCCTGTTTTCCATCGATCTCCATCCTGCAGCCACAACGTCTGTGAAGCAGTTTGAGGAAGTTTTCACATCTTAGAGTCTGAAGCTTCATGTGTTTGTTCCGTAGTTTCATTTGATCTGTTTTGGTTCACACTGTAATTAAGGGACTAAAGGATTTTGTCTGACATATAATATATACTTGACTCTGATTGGTTTGTAGATGTCAGTATTACTAGCAGCATCAGCACCTTCAGGCGCAGTACTCCACAGTAATACAGTACTCCACAGTGCTACAGTACTCCACAGTAATACATTACTCCACAGTGCTACAGTACTCCACAGTAATACAGTACTCCACAGTACTACAGTACTCCGCAGTACGATATAATGTTATAATGGTTCAAACATTATATTGTCAGAGGTGAAGACTGCTTCTTCTTCTTCTTCTTCTTCTTCTTCTTCTTCTATTGTTTAATGGTGTCTCTACTTCCTGTGATTGGTCCAAAAGTCCAATCCAAAAAAGTGTTTTCACTCGGTCGGACTGATTTTGGTGCGTTGGTCTGACAATGATTCAACATTCAGTATGAAGTCAGTTCTTTTAAGACCATGAAACTTGAAACATGGCTTGTCTGGTGAATTCACTCTGGTTCACACTGTTCATATGAAGATCATATTTCAGTAACCGACACTGCAGATTAAATTCAGCCTCAGTGTTTATTCCATCATCTCGGGTCAGGTCTTGTTTTCACCGTTTCGTTGTCAGTTCATCTTTGTTGAATTCGCTCAGTCTGACTTCAAACGAGGCTGAACTCAGCTCATCAGATCTGTTAACATGAGGCCCTCACATGCGGAGGAGCAGCTGGAAAACCCTCATGAAGGACCACACTCGTCCTTCCCCCCCGTTTTCTGCTGCTGGATAATTCACGACAGCAGGTTTAAATAATGAATAGGAATTACATGACAGGAGCGACTGCTGTCGTCTCTGGGGAGAAACAGTGAATGAATAAATGAGTGAATGAATGAGAGACTTCAGTGACGAGGTCTGAAAACAAGAGGATCAGAGTTTCTGCTGACTCTGAAGATTTTATCTTTAGTTTAACTGTTGCAGAATTTGTTTATCTTTCTTCTGTCTCTTATTTTATCATCCATAAAAACTTTTCATCTTTCAGCTGTCAGACAACCTGACGACCCCGCTGGACCGATCTATCTGCGTTCAGACATTTTCTTCGGAGGAGCTGCAGCCTCCTGGTAAAATGTCAGAGTGAGTCCATGAGAGAAAACAGCAGGAAAACATCTGGAACCTTCCCAGTGAGAGAGAGGACGTGTCTCTGAGGTTCCTAACACGTGACGGACGTGAAACCGGAAGAACACAAACATGTTGAAGAAGAAGAAGAGCCGTACACGTAGAAGACGAAGACGTCAACTTGGAAAGACGAGGAGATTCCACACAATTTATACTTCATGTCCCGCCTCATGCTGCTCTACAGGCTCCACCCCTCGCCGGAATGTTCCCCACAATTTCCGGTTGCGAAGCAGCAGATCGTCCAACTCGTTCCCAACAAACACTGACTACACAAAATGTACAGACACTATTTTCTGAACTTCAAATAACTTCTGAGACATTCCATTTCTGATTTGTAGAAAAGAAACAGCTCACACCGTCCACATTTTTACAAAAACTAAGAGCCCCACTTTTCTACTAGAAAACACTTCAGCTGGAGGATTTTAATCTCAACACGTCACGCCGCTAACAACATGTACTCCACATGTTTAACAAACAGCTCTTACCTCTGAGAATAGTCATGACAGGAGTCAGGAGCTGCCGTCAGCCTCGTCTCTGACACTAAACCTCGTACAATCACGGGTTAAAGAACAAACGCCCCTCTACCACTGGCTAAATAACCTGGCAGTCGTCATGGAAACAAGGACATCCAGCCCACCCCACTTCAAACAAACCCCCTCAGAGGACGAGGTGTCGGTGATGTGGTGACACAGGTGAGGAGGGAAGGTGTGAGGGGGAGGAAGAGGAGGTGTCAGCTGTCAGCTTGTAGGAGGCTCAGAGGAACATGAGACCTGGATAAGTTGAGGGGTTAATTTCAACATGTTTAACCTTTTAAAGATTTGTTTTTACAACTAGGGTGTTTTAAGATTATCTTTTGTACAATCGGGAAAAAATACTGAGATACACATTAAAGTGGTAACAAACTCATAGTTATTCAGAATTCAGGAGGAATATCTGTATTAAAGTTCATGGCAAGAAATCCAACAGTTATTACACCAAAGGGGAAAAAACAGAATGACCAACAAAAAAAAATCTATTCCTTCGTCTACAGGGTTGGTTCTTCACTGTGGTGTTACATCTTTGTCTGTGCTGTATTTTGAATTTGTGTGAGTTTGAAGAACGGTTGGTGTCTGTGGTGATGGAGGAGGCTGCGGAGGCGGAGGAGGACGGACTCACCTCTCTTGATGTGTTTGAGTTGTCTCTCGGCCTCGTCTCGCTCCTCCGTCAGTCTGTTGCACTGCGGGAGCAGACAGCAGGGTCAACACACGGGATCACGTTCCACAACAGACTGAATATACAGGTCATCGATACCAGCGGGGTTCGGTTACACACAACACACAGTGAGGGAGTCGCACACATCAGAGTGTTCAGAGGACGAAACACAAAGAACCAGTTTCATCCCAAAACACCTCAATTTGAAAAGACACAAACAGAACCTGAAGGAACGAGTCGACATGTAAATCCATGGTGATGTCATCTATCCACTGACCAAGATAGATGACATCACTGCTCCCACAAGTGAAGCCAAATCATCTTGGCTGACCCCTGGTGGCTGGCTGCAGTGTAGCTCACAAGTCCCGCCTCCTCCATGTCAGCAGATGGGACATGGACCAACAAAAAAAAGCAAAGTTAAATCATTTCTCTGACATTTTAAGGGAGTTCAAGTGTTCGTGTGTCTGATTATTTTGGTTTTAAACATTTAACCAGGCTGAGACATCATGATTGACAGCTTAGACTGACTTGCCATTGGTGAGGCGGGACCTCGATACCGGGGCTCCGCTCCTTGGTTACTGATGCACAGACCCAGAATCTTAAGATGACAGCTCCAGTATCCAGGATATACTAAGGTCATTTTTGTGTCGTCCATGTTATATACTAGCATACAGTCTATGGATCTATCAAGGGATACTCAGAGGAACTGGAACTGGAAATCTCACCTGAGAGTAATTCTTAAGTCAAGTATTCAAATTAATATGCAGGCAGTGAACGCATCATTAGAGCTTTTGAGGAGGAAATCAGCTTTTCTTTGTGTCCTGTGAAATCCTCACACGCTCCAGCAGCAGAAAAACCGAAGAATCCGAAATATTCGCAGCTAACGCTTCTCCAGTATCTCAGGAGATTAGACAAAAGTGCAGCACCAACAGATTTCCTGTTCACCCTCTCCTCCATTTAAACATTTGGTCTGATCCCCCCCCCGCTCCCTGCCGAAGGCTGCACTGCCCTCGTCTCAGAACGCTTCCTCCTAATGACACAGACAACCCTTCACTTCTGATAACAAACGGACTCTCTGTGCTTCTGCTGACTTGACGGCTTCCCGAAAAACTAACTCCTCGTTTTCACATCCATCTGTGGAAGAATCGCCTGTTGTGCTACATTAAGGATGAGCAGCTGTAGAGATGAGGCCTGGTCAACGCTGCCTGATGGGAAATGTTGAGGTATCGTTCCAGAAGCTTAAAATTATCATAATTTGAGGGAAATTATCATAGAGAGTCGGGATGGGACGCTCAATACCGATGTTCCGAAGCTGTGTCGAGATTCCGACCTCAGTTGTGTGGCTCAGAAATGTGGCTCGAAGTCACGTTAATCATCCCAAGCAAGATTGTCTGGAAATAACTATTACTGTAATTATCATACATGTGGCAACACTGGACCTGGTTTGGATGTTGGAGGAATGAAACTTGGAAGCAGCTGCAGACGTCTCTGAGGTTAACGAGGGCAAACCCACCATCAACACTTCATTTTCACTCCGTCAGTGAACTCCTTCAAGCATAAACACAGAATGTTCTTTCATTCAATGGAAGATTGGGGATAAAGAACAATGGAAATTGAGCTTTTCTCCTCACTAAATATCCCAGGGAGGAAAATAATAAGTTATCTGACAATAACAACACAGTGGTAGTTTGTTCTTCTCTTGTCTAATCTCGAGTTGATGATCTCATTTCCGACCTGAAGCTCTGGCTTCTTGGCCTCAGTCATTAACGGACCATGTGCAAGACTGAAACGCTGCTGTCCTCTGCGTGCACTTCCTTTTAAATGGTAAATGGGACTAGTAAAGCATCCGGTGACCTTCCGTGTAGCAAACACACAAGAGAAACTGTTCAAACAATGTACAGAAGACACCACTGACTACACATACGACCATTGTTAGATATTTCAGATATCATTTATTTCAGCTGTTCTGGAGCGATGCATCAAACAATTCTCCACACAGATCGTCCGACAGGAGGTCAGGTACTTTTGGTTCACGTTGTGCGATGGACGATTTCCAAGCCACAGCCACTATTTGACATTAAAGGCTGAATATGAGTCGTTACAAAAACTTGGGTTGTTTATTTACATTTTTATTTGAGGACAAGAAGGACAATTATCGTCCAGCTCTGTCTCCGCTCCAGCAGCAGGAAGCAGTTGTCCCACTTTCTCTACCTGAGGTCTCACACACTGTCAGCTCACATTTCCCACAGGAACACAGCGAGGGCGGCCGGTTGCCTGGCACACAGCAAGGCAGTGAGGCTGCCAGGGTGAGCGGTTCAATTCCCTGCGCTGCTCAGCGAGTACAAGGACACACGACTGCATTTGTCTCACATTTAATGTCCGATATGTAAAATCGCTGTCGTCCTTTTCTTTGTTGCTGTGCAGTGATGTAACAGCGAAGCAGAGTTTTAATACAATAAAATATTAATATTATGTGGTTTGCATTTCCGAGCACAGCAGGTCAGCAGGTTGGAGAAAAAGCAGGCAACATGCAAGTTAGCCGAGCTGCTCCTGTCAGCTTCAAGTTGGAGGCTAGTTCATTAGCTTGATAGATTTTAGTTTTTACACCTGCAGGATGTTGGAGCAGCCACATTATTTGAATTATTTAGCCCCTGGGGAGTGAACCTGTCCTCCATCTTATCAGGACGCAGAGAGATGAAGTCTATTGTCTCCTTCTTAAGCTAAAATTAGCTACTGACCAAATAAACTGTTGCAATATTCTAATTTAAAAAATAGAACAGGAAGTACACTGCCCATCACAGTCTCTTAAAGCTTGTGGTGATATATACTCTTCATTCAACTGCATTTCCTGGTTGCTCAGGTGGAGGTTGAGGGTTCAATTTCCTACTCAACTCATGAGATGAAACAAGGCGCTGAGGGTGAGACGGTTAGATTTTTATTTTTGGAAGGAATCGTGGGGGGTTAGTGATGCTAATAGTTCGAGCAAGTCGACCATAGGACACGAGGAAGAAATTTCACCAAAGAATTTGTCGTCCACATTCCGCAGGGTTCACAAAGCTTTTTGCTTCTCTTAAGAAACTGCCTACTCAGCGTTGCCCTCTAGTGGATGTAGGCCTATTGCTTGACAACAATGCCAACGTAAAGGACACGTTGAAGTATGCAGGCAGTTACATACAATGTCGTATGTTCTCGTATGTAGAGGCAGTGTTGAGGTTCATTTATGCTCAATGTTAGACACGTGTACGGAATGGACCTAGCCTTCTGATTATACTTTCGTCCAATCAGCGCATGTCTTCTGGACGCTTGTGGACGGGATAGGACACAAAGAAATTTCAACAATGGCGGAAGCGTTTGTGGAGAGACGAGTTTGTAAGACGCTATAAGATGTTACTTCTTTCTCACGATGTACATTATCGCTATACCTCCTGCACCGACTCTGCACTGCTCTCTGGTGGATTTACTACTGAGCAACATAACAGACGCGTGCTGGCAGTGGCAATTACATCGTTAAATAAATAATAATAATAATATATCAACTCATAGAGCAAGGCACCGCCACTGGAAGAGGTGTGGGGTTCACTTCCCATTGTATCTGCAGATTGTCATGAAATCACAGATGTGAGGCAGCGAGGCAGAATCTATTATATATCAATGAACCAGCAAAGAAATGAACTCTTTCTGCTAAATATCGTTTCGAACCTGAGGCCAGGATTTTACTGACAATCAGAGGAATGAAGTCAGACACCACAGGCCAGAATAAAGCTGTCAGCACATTTGTCTCAGTGAATAAAGGATTTAAATAAACCCCGTCCCCACGTGAATCCCGGTGAAAGCAGCTGTGATGTGAACTCGGGAGTCAGACCTCTCTTTGGGCTTTGAATGGGAGAGGAGGACATTTTTTGGGAGGGGTCCTTCTCTTTGATGTCTACAATAACCTCCAGGAGGAGCCGGCCGGCGGATCACACCTCCTGCAGAATGTCCCATCCCGCAGAAAAACGCACCAGCGGAGGTCTCACACGCGTTAAAAGTGACTTACACGCAGAGTGTGAAAGGAAATGGTGACGTTCAAGATGTTTCCCGATGTTTTTCTGCCCATTTTCTTTATCTTTTAATTGCCTCACCTCTGTTTGCATGTGTCCGTCCCTCTCCTCCTCGCATCCCTCCATCTGCGCGGAGGATGAGCAGGGAAGCATGTTCAGCTCCGTCTGGAACCAGGCTGCGATACTTAAAGAATGAAACTAGCACATGTTGGGCTGTGACTCCATTGTTTTAATTCTTCCTCCAGACGCATGGGATGGAGATGGAGCTGCTGCTGCTGCTGCTGCTGCTGCTGCCGGCGAACAGGATCCTCCTCCCCCTCCTCCTCTCACTGTCATCAGCATCATCTGGCTCCTGGACCCCTCCTCCATCCCCATCCTCCTCTTCCTCCTCTTCCTCCTCCCTCCTCTCTGCTGCAGGCACCGTCGGACTGAACCATTCGTGTGAAGAGGGAGATGTGAGGTTTGGAAAATGTTGTTGCCTTCCAAGTTCAATTTTGAAGATTGAACATGAGAAATAATCGAATAAACTTTATCACAATTTGCTGTTGATATTTTCCTTCTTCTGTCTTTTAGTGTGTTTAAGCTTGGTTTTGTCGTTTTCTTTGTTTTTACGTCCTGTATCTAAAGTATGACACCAACAGCCACGGTGTTATTATTAGACAATAATATTAAGAATAGAATTAAGTTACTGAGCCATAATCATCATCATTTGAATTAAATATAGGTTATAGACATATAAGTGTGTGTGTCCTGTACTACATGGACACCTAGAGGCCATCACATGCTACTACGGGCTGA